AACAACACAGCAAAATGTCAAACATTAAAAATTTCCCTATACAGGGCTGCCTTCAGATGTCTTCTAAAAAGTCAAATAGTTGTCTATTCCCTTGACATCTGACGGGAAGGTGTTCCACAGGGAGGGCACCACTACCGAGAAGGCCCTATGCCTGGTTCCCTGGAGCTTCACTTCTCGCAGTGAGGGAACCTCCAGAAGGCCCTCAGAGTTGGACCTCAGTGTCTGAGCTGAACGATGGGGGTGGAGATGCTCCTTCAGGTATACATGGCCGAGGCCGTTTAGTGCAGATTCACTGAACACCGAAAATCAGCGCCCTCCTGTGTCTCACCTTCCATTCTAAGTCATTCTTGGGGCGCCTCCAGCAGTGCCCCCTCATGGGCAAACCGGTCGCACTACCCTAAATCTGCCTCTGCTCAGAGAGTGACCCCTCTCTACCACAAGTGCTGCTCCTTTGCTTAACTGTATCATTAAAATTCATATTTGATATTGGGTGGATTGGGCACTGTGTGCAATGCGATACACATCAAGTAAATACTTGAGGGGGCAGTTGTGTATCTATCAATTTCCTCCAACATCTGCAGAATATAGGATTTTATGTTTGCATACTTCTTGCAGGTGGGGAATAATGACATTTTGAAGAAAAAGCAGCATTTTACACATCTGCAGTGAAAAGCAACAAGGGAGGCCTTCTAGATTGGTAGAAGCAAGCAGAAAGCCCAGTTCATCTGACCTCCGCACACCTTTGGTGAAGAAGTTGTGTGTGTTCCTCCTGCAGTGCCAAACTGGATGATACGGAGGCGCTAAACCAATTCCTTGCACATTGTGCTGGGATGGGCCCAGAGCTGATGAATATGCAACGCCGTGCAATCCGTTTAATCTGCCTAGGCATTCTGACGCCGTCTGGTGCTCTAGAGAAATAAGTGTGATGAATGAAGTTTTCCATTTAGAGTGGAGATGATAAGGGCAATTCTCACAACAGATGTTGTTATCATTCCCAGAAAAGGCAGCTCCTCTTTTGCCCCTGAAGAAACGTCAGAGGGAAATGGCATAAAAGGGATTCAGAGTGTCTCTGCCCAGCAAGAGACCACTATCCCTAAGAAGGTTCGGCTGGCACCTTCATTATACACCTTTAGGTGCCAGGCAAACAATTTTGTCCTGAACCAGGCCTTGGGTTGGTTGACATCCAATGCCCTTTTAAATGGTGGGTGGCAGAGAAGGAAGCTCCCTGATTTGTTGGGTTTTTTGTTCTTGTTTTGTTCTTGTCTATTTTCTGTTTTTATCTTGTATTTTTATGTTGTGAACTGTCCTGAGAGCTATGGATGAAGAGCAGTATACAAATTTAATAAATAATAATAAATAATAATAAGGTAAAGGTACCCCTGACAGTTAAGTCCAGTCGCAGACGACTCTGGGGTTGAGGCACTCATCTCGCTTTACTGGCCGAGGGAGCCGGTGTTTGTCCACAGACAGCTTTCCAGGTCATGTGGCCAGCATGACTAAACCAGAGCAGCGCACAGAAACGCCGTTTACCTTCCCGCCGGAGCAGTACCTATTTATCTACTTGCACTTTGACGTGCTTACGAACTGCTAGGTAACTGAACAAGCTGACTGACAGGCTTGCTCTTATGAGTATTTTTGTCTTAATGATACAATAGTGTGTGTACACAAAGCAGGGCTGCAGAATAGATGAGAGGAGGGGACATGGAGGTGGGGTGGTCTGGGTGCAAGGGGGAGTTGAGGAAAAGGAGGATGGGAGAGAGAAAAGGGAGCAAAGGTGAAAATGGAGAGGTCAAAGGGGATTGCAAAAAAGGAGGGGTTGAATATAAAAGCAGAAGTATGAAAAGGCCTAACCAAGAGGAGATGGCAGAAGGCAAAAAGGCTGCCAAGTAGTTGCAAAGTATGGGAGGAGGAAGATACATGAGGAAGATACACTGAAGTGATTTGTGCGCAAGGCGGGTTGCGCAAAAGGAGGGTGAATCTTGGACATGGGTGTGAAGGTGAAAATGAGTGCAAAGCGGAGCTGCAAAGAAAATAGAGAAGTGGCTTCAACAATGCGGTTGGGAAGGTGAAAAGCGAGCTTCGTAGCTGCACGGGAAGAGGAAGCTCTAGGGGGTTAATTTGAAAGAGGGAAATAGCATGGGTTGGCAAATGAAGTGAGCAGGGGCGCAGTCCCTAGTGAAACATATCCCTATACCAGCATCATGGTGAGGAAATGAAACCTCCTGGGTTGGATGCAGCAAAAAGAACCATGGAAATCAATGGATTTATGAGTTGTGCGTATTAATTTCAATGGCCCTACTCTGGGTGTGACATAGTTCAGGGGTGAGGAAGCTCCCGCCCATGGGGATGATAAAGACCCACCAGATTTCCCCATTTGGTCCTTGAGGTCATTATGATGGCAGGTGTGAGGCAGGTAGAAACCTGACTTGGCCAAAGGCAGGGTGATTGCAGATACCCCCCCCCCATGAATGGAGCTTCTGAAGACCTGGCAGTCAGCTGATGGAGCCCCTTGTGATGCCAGGCGATTGACAACTGGGTAACTCCAACCTACCAGTCAAACTTGGCCCACAGGGGGCATGGGATCCAGCCTTCTGGCTTGATCCAGTTTTCCACCCCTGATGTAGTTGGGTGCAACCTCACCTTCTAAAGATGTACCTCAAATTTTAGATGGGAGAGCAAGGATGTCTCTTCTACAAAAGTGCTACTCAGTGCTTAAAGCAATGTCCAAGGTGAAGAGCAGTATTTTCAAAACTTGGCCCTCCAGCTGTTTTTGGAATACAGTTCCCATCATCCCTGACTCCTGGTCCCACTAGTTAGGAATGATGGGAGTTGTAGTCCAACAACAGCTGGAGACCAAAGTTGGGGAAACATCGGTGTTGAGAATGTGCATGACCACACTAGCTCTGCCCCACATGTTTCAGCACAGCTGTCTGCTTTGTGGAAGTGCCTACCACACATGGAGTCCACTCTCCTCATGCATTTTGGAACCCTGATTTTACAGCCCTGGCCAGCAGGACCAATGGTCAGGGCTGATGGGAGTTGCAGTACAACAACATCTGTAGGGAGCCAGGTTGGAGAAGGCTGACTTAATTTGTGTTATCTGACTGTAGGACTGTCAGGAGAAGTAACTTCACCAACTTGCAGTTGCCATGTTCAATGCAGGTTCAGAGCTTAAGCCACAGGATATGGTGGGGGAATAAATGGATTGTTGTTCAGTCTCAAACTGAAGCTGCTGACTTTGTCTATTTTTATATCTGAAATCTCTTAACAGTTCATGCAATGGCTTTCCCAGATGTAAATGTGGAGCAGAACAAGGGAAGCCAAATGATTTCAGTGTACCAATTTCCTGCTTTAGTTCATGAACTCAGAAGCAGCAGTCACACAGCCTGCTTCTGACACCACTCAGAATTGGTGGAGTCACAGAGAAACTACTCAATTACATTGCCATGGTACGGCATTTGAATGGGGGATTTTTCCTAACTCTCCTAACATATTCAGTAGGTAGAAGAATGGGAAATAATTGCTGTAATGATTATATACCTCAAGAAAATGTGCTTAAAAGTTGACCTAGCAACAGCAGAGCTTGAGAAATGCTCCCCATTGGCTGATAGGATTATGACATCATCACTTTGCTCCCCTAGTTACATATTTTTTTTCCAGTCTCATTTCTACCTTTTTCTGTTAGTTTTGCTGTCACATGTCAGGCGCCCAAATCTTGTCAGGTCCTTAAAATGGGCAAGTTATAGTTTTGTATCTAGAAAGAAAATTGGACCAGGTACTATTACTGAGTTGAATTTCATTTTCTTTCTTTTGTTAACATAGATTTTGATTTTTAAATACAGTTAAAAGTGCAAATTACAAAAACATTACATCATGATCACTAAGTAAGAGAAAAAGGCAGAAAGGGAAAACACTGATTTCAGTTCATATTGTATACTGTGAATGAACTTGTGGGATGGTTAGAGTAAAATGGCTGGAGGAGAAGCTCAATAACTATGGAGAAATTATTCATATTTATGTTATGCGAGCAAATCGTAGTCAGAAATATCCATACTTAAATAGGATGGAATCAGAAGGTTGAAGAACTTCAACAGAAAATTGGAATTGCTTGCTTGCTGAACTTGCTTGGTATGTTTATGTTCTGCTTCTCTGGATAAATCTTAGTTTATCCCTCCTTTTGTTTCTGACTTTTATCTTTCTCATGATCCAGCTCCACAGCATCAAGTACACATGTCCCCACATGTTTTAATATATGTGGTATTCACTTGGGGAGACTTGATCCCTTTCAAAGCAATTTCCAAACTGAACTTGAACCATGTCAGCAGAGGTCACTTTGGCATATATGCCAGTTGCCAGATGATTTCACTGAAAACACTGAATTGTGGCCCAATTCAGCAGTGTCAACAAACTCTGTGGCTCATCAGCCTCGGCTTTGCTAAGCAAATGAGACGGTGCCTTAGATTTCCTTCCAGTGTGAGCCAGTGTGGTGTAGTGGTTAAAAGCAGTAGTCTCGTAATCTGGTGAACCGGGTTCGCGTCTCCGTTCCTCCACATGCAGCTGCTGGGTGACCTTGGGCCAGTCACACTTCTTTGAAGTCTCTCAGCCCTACTCACCTCACAGAGTGTTTGTTGTGGGGGAGGAAGGGAAAGGAGAATGTTAGCCGCTTTGAGACTCCTTAAGGGGAGTGAAAGGCGGGTTATCAAATCCAAACTCCTCCTCCTCCTCCTCCTCCTCCTCCTCCTCCTCCTCCTCCTCTTCTTCTTCTTCTTCTTCCATTTTAAGTTGCATTTAAACTGCAAGAAATTCAGTGGGAAATCTGTCAATACTGTTGAATACTGATGCTCCACAGGCATTATACATTTAAAGCACACCACATGAAACAATCATAGATTCCCCCAAAGAATCGTGGGAGCTGTAGTTTGTCAGGAGACCCTATTCCCCTCGCAGAGCTAAATTCTGCCATGTGGTTTAACTGTCATTCCCTCTTCCCAGGGAACTCTGGGAATTGTAGCTCTGTGATGGTAACAGGCGTCTCCTAACAACTCTCAGAGCCCGTAACAAACTGTGGTAAAATTATTATTATTATATATGCTGAGGTAAAATCATTGTCAGAAGGAAGGCTCTGGCTTGTAAGAATAAAGGAAGCAAATTCTTTTAAGATGTGTTTAAAGTCTTAAGGGAGATTTAAGGTATTCATATTTTATTTAATTATGTTGTGCTCAGGCACAACATTTTTTTTTTTAAAGATTGATGTTTAATTATGTAGGGAGTTTAGCTTAACAACATAATTACAAGACAGCTAAAGCTGGTGCTTGATTGTATACTTAATACGGCTTTCCAAGAATTGTCTAATCATAAAATTGCTAGTTAAACATGTCAATAAGATGTAGTTTAAAAGACTGTAATTACACCACTGTCCACATTATCTGCACGGGTTATGAAAGCACCATTGTGGCCTAAGTAATCATTGTTTTCCCGAGTCTTTTATTAGAAAGAGTTAAAAGAGATTTGGCACAAAAAGTAGCGGGGGAGGGCGGGCAGAGAACAATATTAAGAAAAACTAAGGGCGGATTTAGTGTAAACCAAAGGATTTCGGGAACTGATCATTTAAGACTGTGTTACCAATATTAATATTGTGATGAAGGCTTTTTTCATTTTCTCCCAAACAAGCATGACGTGGAGAGATTAAAATTATTAAACTTATCTCATTTCACCGCTCCCCCCAATCATATTCTTGCTAAACTTGCACACAGAAAAATGGAAAATGAGGTGGGAAGCCTCTATCTGGCTTCTGCAGGTAAGGAGTTGTGGTCCAAGACATGTAGCAGATTTGGGAAGACTGACCCACAATCAGTTGCCACCTCAGTGAGAAGTAGACCTTAGCATATATATTCAGACAGATTTCCGCCCCGCCTCCCACAATAAACCTTATATTGATCATGGCACCAGAAGCTGGGATTTGCCCCATAACTCATCTTAGGAACTCTTACTGATCCAGTCGTTATAGTGTTTTACTATTATATTAAGGACTCTGGTTTTGAACTCTTTAACATCTCTTTTCTTTTCTTTTCTTTTCTTTTCTTTTCTTTTCTTTTCTTTTCTTTTCTTTTCGTCAACCAGTTAGGTGGGGCTAGAAATAGATTGGCAAATGAATAAATGACGCTTGAGCTAGCTCTGGGCCTAAGATTGCACACATTCCTGGTGCTGCCCCTGAAATTATAGTTAATATAGAGATTCCATCTATATAGCCAATGTGTATGGAAAATTTGAATTAGGGTGGTTTTGCGCTATTTAAGATGGAAATCCCACCTTGTGCAATCAATCAATCAATCAAATAAGAATACTGCATCTTTCCTGAAAATAAACTCAAAGAAGGGCTAGAGCTTTGCAGGATATTTTCTCAAAAAGAAATTGTGAGGGAGAAATACCCCCTCCCCCGCCCAATACATTCAGAATTTTATAATGTCATTTCTTTAACTCTCGTTCATAGTGATTTTGTTCTTCTTAAATTTCAATGGGGAAATAATATTGAAGCACTCAAGTTTACAAGGTTTTTTTTTAAGTCTCTTTTCTTTTTATGCACGGTCATGGATGGTTACCTGGTTGTCAAAGATGGGACCTGCAAGCAGTGTTTGAAAGTGCTTTCAGTGTGTGCGAAACACAGCCGCTTCGAATGAAGCAGCTTTTATAAAATTCCAAGTTAAAGAGAGGCAAAGCAGAAATGATCGGGGAAGGATCTTTAAGGCCGTATATTTCCATAAGTACTTCAGGGGCTTAACATTTCACTCTTGGGAGTAATCTTTTTATGGACTGGTAATGAAACCTTATCTGACAGTGGTTATGAGTCATTCTTTGGCATTCTCCTGCCAAATGTTACTGTGCAGAGCTCTGGATGATGGGATAAAGCTTCTTTCTTCACAGTTTTGTCTGCTCAGGGGGATCCTTCAGTTAGAAAGGAAACCCATTTTATTCTTCTGGAAGCCTACATAATCCATCCATTCCTTTCTTTTTTACTTGAATGCCATCATCATATTTAAGGCTCAGAATTAGAGCCATCTTTCCTTCAGTTGAGAGGCACCTCTGTTATGCATCAGGAAACCAGAGACAATTGAGTAATAATAGTATTCTTTATTCACTGTTAGAGAGTTACAACTACTAGAAGCAGTTCACTGGGTGGGCAAGTATCTGTCGCTTACTGGGAGGGAAGGAGAGGTGGAGGTGCAAGGTGGCTGGGAGGTTGGCATGGTGCAAATGCACTGTCAGGAGTGCCAGATTGGCTCCGCCGGTACATTTGCACTGTGCTGACTTCTCTCTCTCCCTCCTGGTAAGCAACAGCAGCCTACTTTCCAGGAAGCTACCATTGCCATTCTCCCCACCTGGTGACCTGCTTCTGACTACTACCAGCCACAGTCTAGTGCTATAAACTCATGGGTAATTTCTGGTGTGGATTTTTTAAAAAAATGAGTGAAATAATTAGGTATTAAGCTTTAGAAATTTTGCTTTGCCTTGAGCAATCCTCCTCAGAGTGGACCCATCAAAATTAATGGGCTTGACTAACTTAAGTTCATTACTTTCAATGGGTCTTCTATTAGTATGGCTTAAAAGGTAAAGGTAAAGGTAAAAGGACCCCGTGACCGACTCTGGGGTTGCGGCGCTCATCTCGCTTTATTGGCTGAGGGATCCGGTGTACAGCTTCCGGGTCATGTGGCCAGCATGACTAAGCTGCTTCTGGCAAACCAGAGCAGCGCACGGAAACGCCGTTTACCTTCCCGCCGGAGCGGTACCTATTTAGCTACTTGCACTTGACGTGCTTTCAAACTGCTAGGTGGGCAGGAGCAGGGACCGAGCGACGGGAGCTCACCCCATTGTGGGGATTCGAACCGCCGACCTTCTGATCAGCAAGTCCTAGGCTCTGTGGTTTAACCCACAGCGCCACCCGCGTACCAATTTAGTATGGCTTAGCTGGATACAATCCCTTTCCCTTGTGCCTGGTTCTTGGTCTCTGGTTAACCTCAGACTGCAACCTATGATCCAGGTCTGACATGGACGCAAATCGATGGAAAGCGCTTCTGCCTTTGCCCAGTTGCAATAAATGGAGGCTGTGCAATAAAACAAATGTGCTCTTGCACAGCTCCATTCATTTCATTGGGGCAAGGCCAGCATTAGCAACCAGCAGAGCCAAGCACCCTGGACTTAGGGTAACTTGTTCTTAACATCTGGTTATAGTGGTAATTTTAATGTGCATTTTGCATTTTGCTTAGAGGTTTTTATGATTAAGTGATATACACATCCTGTTAAGCAAAATAAAATAATAAGATTCCCCTCTCTTTCAACGCACACACACACACACACACACATCAGAAATGGCTGGAAAGCACATGTGGTGCATGTTCTTTGTCTCTGCAAAGCCAAAGCGATTTAATTCACAATCTGTGTTGCTCTCATGCTAATTCTTGAATCATTTGCTATTAAGGCCTTGATGGTTTTATGTGGTTTGCTGGGAAACATGCAGGACTCTGGGGGAGTTCTCTGGCTTCAGATGTTTTCAAGGCTTTCCTTTCTCTCTTTCATTTCTCTAAAATCAGAACCAGATTACACTGGGGAGTGGTGTTTAACCTAAACAAGCCCAGTAGGAGGCAGTGGGTGAGGGGGAACCCGACAGAAAAAATGAAACACCAAATGTCGGGAATTTGGCTTACATTCCCTAAGACGTCATCTGAGTTTAAATCATCTTTATAGATTCTTTTAGTGGCAATTCCCCCCCCCCCCCGGAATGCCTAAAGAGTTATGTAAAGACATTACTCTTAATCTCACGCAACATGCTAATATGGAGAGAGAATAGTGTAATGGTTTGAATGTTGGGCTGGGATTGTGAAGACTAGGTAGAAATCTCCCTTCAGCCATGGAGCTCATTGGATGACCTTGCGAGATCCACCCTTTTCCATGAATTGCTCAAACTGCATCGGGGCAGAAAGTAATGGCCTGTTACCACCCTTGTTTGTGGACACACCTCTCTAAACATGCCTGCAGACTACTTCTCTGTGGTCAGGGAACAAGCCCTTCCAGAGCATGAATGACTGGGGAGAATTTAGCTAGGGGAACTGGCTGTATTCAGGAGGACAGGCTGGTGTCAGTCTGATAGAGCTGACCTAGTAAAGGTAAAGAGACCCCTGACCATTAGGTCCAGTCGTGACTGACTCTGGGGTTGTGGCGCTCATCTCGCTTTATTGGCCGAGGGAGCTGGCGGACAGCTTCCAGGTCATGTGGCCAGCATGACTAAGCCGCTTCTGGCGAACCAGAGCAGTGCACGGAAATGCCGTTTACCTTCCCGCTGGAGCGGTATCTATTTATCTACTTGCACTTTGACGTGCTTTCTAACTGCTAGGTTGGCAGGAGCAGGGACTGAACAACGGGAGTTCACCTCATCGCGGGGATTTGAACCGCCGACCTTCTGATCAGCAAGCCCTAAGCTCTGAGGTTTAGACCACAGCGCCACCTGCGTCCCTGGCCAAAACCTGGCCAAAATGCAAGGGAGCCTGGTGTGATTATTCGGGATTGTATTGTCAAGATAGTGGAGTGCCCATGAAAGGTAGTCACGGAGGAATGGCGATGAGAGCACAGCTTTCCCAGAAATGAAGTTTATAGCAATTGAAAGGTTAACCACTGAAGGCCTTCCAGGAATGGTGAGGGAAAGAGAAGGTGGGATTGTTGGATGAACAGTGGGGCTGTGGAATGTGCTTTGCATCCAGTGGGGAGAAAAGGAGAGATTGCAATCTGAAGAACAATTAGAGACAATAAGAGTCAAAAGAGGGAGATGCATTTACCTATTCTTCCTTTTGGTTATGGAAAAAATGGGCAGCAGTCCATAGGAACACTCCACCAGGAGCTCAGGGCACAGAGTTCATGGAATTCGGGAGGGGAGGAGAAAAAACTTTGACAGGACTCCAAGGAGGTTTTTGGGAAGAATGGAAGTCTTTGGAAAACAAGCATGAATCCATTGGAGGGCGAGACTCAGTGGAGAGCAAGGGAACTCTGCTAGGTCAGATGAAAGTTCTCTCTTCTGCAGAATCCTGTTTCTTACAGTGGTCAACCAGAGGTGTCTGGGATGTTCACAGGGCAATAACCCTCACCCACTGTTGCCCCCTGCCATTTTCTTGACCTGCCCTGAATACAAGGGCCATCTTCTGAAGCAGAGAGCCTCCTGTACTCTTGAAGGCTTCCCACACACATCTAAGAAAAGAAATAAGCCAGGAATCTTAGGGGGAGTGTCTTCCTGTCTCGCTCGGTAGAACACCATGTTAAAACACACAGTACGCTATCTTCTTCCAAGTGTATGTCCAGTACTGATGTGCTCCCACCACTTCCTAGGCCTCAGAGCGCTGAAATTCCAACCGTAGACCTTGTTTGTGTCCAGATTCCTTCCTCAGTTCTTTCAAATACGTTATTCAATGAGCCATTTGTTTCATCGCGATGATGTCATGCAGAGCACTACTTTAAACAGAACGAAGAAACAGCAACCCGGGTATTTTATCACATCAGGGTTATCACTAGCAAAATAGCCATGCTGCAGGAATTTGACTGTTAGTGAACACATCTGGAAGGCTTTGATTACATTATTCGCCCTAGATAATAGGAGAAAAGTTGTCCAGTTGTGCCTAGTTCCAAAAAAGGGCAGCAAATAAAAGAAGATTGCTAGACCTTCCTGTCCTACTAAGTGTTATAAAGGATGTGGTAGATAACCTAATAAAGGCTCAGTTTAACCACACAGATAACAGGCCGTCAGTTTAATAATGCCAACCCACAAGAATAAAGGGAAATGTAAAGAATTTTTAAAAACATACATGTTTATTCATTTTCAAGAATACTATATGCTCCTCAGCAAGGTTTCACTAGTGCCTTCATTATACAGATTTAGGTACCGGGTGAAAACATTCCTCTTCAACCAGGTTTTGGGCTGATTGACATCTGATGCCCTTTTAAATATGTTGGGCATTATTGGTTTGTTGTTGTTGTTGTTCTTTTTTGTGTATTTTGTAATTTTCATATTGTGATTTTATGTTGTGAACTGCTCTGAGATCTATGGATGAAGTGAGGTATACAAATTTAATTGAATGATGATAATAATAATATACACACTAGAATTAAACAAATACTCTCTTCCTCCCAATCTACTGCCCCCTTTCCTTGGGAATCTGGATTTCTCATTACCTGCATTAAGCTAAGTGTAAATTCCATACTTGTTTCACAAATAGTAACATAACTTATCCTGTATTTATCTTAACAAGTCCACCCATAAATGTAAAGAATTTTGAACTGCCCCATATGAGAAGCATTCCCGCCCCCCTACAGCTGTATATTGGAGGCACTGAAAAGCCACAGATCGTCTTGGTAACACTACCACTTGTTAGCAGAAGAAACATATTCTTACACAGGAACCTGCTGTGTAAGATATGGGCATTTGGGGGCAGCCCTTGGACCCCTATGAAATCCATGCCTCAAATGTACAGCTGCACTTGGAAATGGACTTGGTGGTCCCGTCTTCCATCCTCTTTGCTCTCTGGATGACATGTGGGCCTGTGGCTACCAGAACATGCTACCAACTGCCTTAGACTGGAGGCCCAGGAGCAGTTCCCATGCATATAGATCCAGCCACCTCTTCTTTGCCCTGGAACTCTTGCTGTAATTCTTGTAGCCAATTTCTGGAGTGAAGCCAGCTGCAGTTATTGGGTGTGTTACATTAAGAAGTCTCAAGCAGCTCTGTGGACTCCACCCATGTTCCAGAGAGACTGAATGGGTATATCCCAAGGGCTGTGTAGAAGTTCTACACTGTGAAGTTTCTTCACTGTGTGAATTCCTCATTCTACCTTCCCAGCACCAGATCTCTCAACTGCCCAGAGTCATGTGTGTGCTTTCAAGGTGGCCAGTTAGGGATCACTATTAGTCTCTGGCCTGGGCCAATGATCTGCAGAGCTGAAAGGAATATTACAAACACCCACCAGTCACGCAGAAGTCCTAGAGCCAGTCTGCAGCATCTCCAAGCAGGGCTACCAGAGACTCCTGGTGGAAAACGTGAATAGCAAACCAAGCTAATGGACTATGCTGAATTGGCAAAGCTGACCGGAAAACTCAGGAACCAAGAGGACAAAAGCGTTATAGAAGAATGGGAAAATTCATAAGTTATTTAAGAGACCACTGTAAGCAGATGGAAACATTGGCAGGATTTTGATTTCACTTGCAGTGTAACAATTATCATGGAAAATATGGATTGATATAATAGTTTGGAGAAGATGCAGCTTTAAATGATTAAAAAGGAACTCCAGGGAAGGAGGGGTGGGGGAGTCCTGAGATTTGGTGGAATCTCTTTATATGGATATGTAATTGGATTTTTTAAAAATATAATTTTGCATTTTTGTAAAAACCAAATAAAAATGATTTCAAAAAAAAGAAAGGAAAACCTGCATAGTCTCTACTATAAAGGTAAAGGTAAAGGGACCCCTGACTATTAGGTCCAGCCGACTCGGGGGTTGCGGCGCTTATCTCGCTTTATTGGCCAAGGGAGCCGGCGTACAGCTTCCGGGTCATGTGGCCAGCATGACTAAGCTGTTCCTGGTAAGCAGCGCACGGAAACGCCGTTTACCTTCCCGCCGGAGTGATACCTATTTATCTACTTGCACTCTGACGTGCTTTTGAACTGCTAGGTTGGCAGGAGCAGGGACTGAGCAACGGGAGCTCACCCTGTCATGGGGATTCGAACCGCCAACCTTCTGATCGGGAAGTCCTAGGCTCTGTGGTTTAACCCACAACGCCACCCGCATAGAGTGGATCATCTAGTCCAACCCCCTGCAATGCAGGAATCTTTTGCCCAGCATGGGGCTCAAACCCACAACCCTGAGATTCAGAGTCTCATGCTCTACCAACTGAGCTATCTCAGAGCTTCCAGTCAGTGTAGAGGGTACCAAGCTAGATGGGCTCAGAACGTAGGAAGCTGCCTTATACTGTGTTCCTGACCTGAGCCACAGATAACGTAGAGCTGCAAGGGACATTTAACTCTAATGCACTGAATATCGCCTCATCCAGATTCCCACGACCATCCTATAACCAATGGGACAAAAATGCATCAGGGCTCAAGGGGCATGAGCCCTGATGCATGGAATGAGGGCAGGGCAGTAAAACAAGGCCCAGAGGCTGTAGTAAATTACTTGATGAAACATGGTGTGGAGGACGTCCCTTACCCATCAGTGGCATAAATTCACCTTCCTGCTTGCCAATCTCACAAATATGTTCATCATAGGATAGGAAAACAGATCTACTGAGCTTCTGAAAAGAGGGTCAGAGGAGTTTCATTCTTTTGTTTTCATTTCTACTAAAAAGCAGAAGCAGTGCTATTCAAGCACTAACATTTTTAATATAGGGAAGATGTTTTGGAAATAGAGAAGGCAATAAAAAGAGAGACAGCCACTGATGCAACTATATGGAAGCCAATTTGTTTTGCTACAAATTGCTGCAAAGTTTTGAGGGAATTTCCCCCTTCCTCCTCCTTCAGCAGAAAATCACCCTGTTTTTGTAGGTAGATAATATTTTTGAGACATTGGGGAAGATTTCTGTTCCATCCGCCCTCCTTTCAAATTGCCGTCAAGCCCAGACACTCCAGTACTGAAACTTTCAGCATGTTAATTTCAGAAGCAGTGTATCTCTTGACACCCAAGGTGCTAAGACTACGTTCATATTTTCCTTGTTTTATGCTGCATGCACTACAGAGAGTATTCTCAGCACAAAAGTGCTCACATTTTTAGAAAATATCTTATTTGTCTAATCTCCTGTTACAGTGTGGGCTCCCGTCCCATTTTCTGTTTTTAAAATTTGAAAGCATAAAAGAAAGCTGGGAGTTGGGTGGTTCTCCAAAATAATAGTGATAAGTTATTACTATAGAAGCAAAAGTCACATTTTGACAAGATTCAGACACCTTGGCTGTGATCTTTTGAAATAAGCAAGAGCTAAAAGAGATTTGTTCGTTTTTAATGTAGAAAAAACCCAGTGATAATATGTGTATGTATTTATAGCTCTGTGAAATATCCTTTTAATCCTACATGCAGGAGTGACCAAAAGCAATGTAAACAACATTCCTAGATAAGCAATGGCATGCATCAAGCAGAAGATCATAAAATTAGTGCCATGTACAGAGATTAAGGATGGGTGACTCGTTTTAATCAATCTGGGTTTCTTTCAGTTTCTCATCTTTCCATTGTAGAGTTGCCACATCAGTTTTCATTTTTAAAAAGTCCTCATGAAAATCCATCAGCATTTTAGTGTAGGGTTGCCATATTTCAAGAGGTAAAAATCTGGACAAAAAATGTTGTGCTTGAGCCACCAGAGCCTGAGCCCAAAAAGAGGACATGTCCAAGATTTCCCTGACGTATGGCAACCCTATTTTAGTGTGATTGTACACACTAAACATCCTAATACAGTGGTACCTCAACTTTCAAATGTAATCCGTTCTGGAAGACCATTCGAGTTCCGAAACGTTCGAATACCAAGGCGCAAAGGGCGGTCTGCAAATTCAATAGAGAAAACTGGAAAACAAAACTCAGCGGAAGCCGTTCAACTTCCAAGACGCGTTCGAAAACAGAAGCATTTATTTCCGGGTTTTTGGCATTTGAAAACCGAAACGTTTGACTTCTGAGAAGTTCAAAAACCAAGATACCACTGTATATAGATATTTGTATGTTATGGTTACCAGCCACCCCAAACTCTGCCAAGTGGCAGCGAGATTCCAGGGATGTTAGCACTGGAGTTTGTGTTCCCTTGGAATGAGGCACAGTGGAGACTGTAGTGTCTTTAACAAATATGGTTCATTTACACCTGAGTTTAGGTGGAGGGAGTACAAAACATTATACCCCAAGAGTGCCTCTGAGCTTCAGCAAACCTGGGTCCAGAAGAGAAGTCAGTCAGGCTCCCCAGGCTCTGCATGCAGTCTCTCCCAGCCATGGCCCACATGGAGTTCTCCTCCCCTTTTTCCACAATTAAAATACCACAATTTTTCCTTAGGCCTACATCACTGCCCACTTCCTACCTGGAACTCTCCTTTCCGGCACACATCATCAAACACTAAAATTCTTTGCTCACCATCCTCTCATGGGAGGAGGGGCTCAATCACTTCTGCCGCTTGGCACAGGGTAACTGTTTGTGTCCATCGCAGACCCTCCAAGAATTCCTATTTTCCAGGGATACCCCTGATTTAGAGAAGCCGTCCTAAGTTCTGATTTGATCATCAAATGTCCCACTTTTCCTTAGGATGTCCCTATTTTCATTGGAGAAATGTTGGAGGGTACAGAGTTATCTGACTCCCAAGCCATCAGAAGGCAACTCTGTAAGTTTTTAAAAATATTTAATGTTTTATTATGTTTTTATATATGTTGGAAGCTGCCCAGAGTGGCTGGGGCAACCCAGTAAGATGTGTGGGGTATAAATAGTAAAATTATAATTATGGAATGGGATGTCCCTACTTTCATTGGATAAACGTTGGAGGCTATGCAATTGCCCATTACCTTCCTTTTGTACTACATGATGGTTCTTCTCTCCAGGACAATTCCTGGCTAGGAAGCTGATTCCGCCAGCATTTTTACACTGCTAAGCCATCTCACAGACTTCAAGCATTTAGTCATCTCCTACATTTACTGACTCTGGAAATTGGGGTGGGGGGAGGAATCTAGTACCCAGGACTTTTAGAGGGATCTGCCCCAACCTGCACAAATTCACAACACTATTTTGCCAAATCTGCACATTTCTGCAATGCAATTTTTGCTAATGTACACATTTTCCATGTACATCTTACCCTGTACATGTATGTATTTATGTATGTAATAATAATAATAATAATAAAATAATTTATTATTTGTACCCCACCCATCTGGCTGAGTTTCCCCAGCCACTCTGGGCGGATTCCGACAAAGATTAAAAATACGTACATTAAAATGTCACACATCAAAAACTTCCCTGAACAGGACTGCCTCCAGATGTCTTCCAAATCTGGTAGTTATTCTTCTCTTTTACATGTGGTGGGAGGGCGTTCCACAGGGTGGGCGCCGCCACTAAGAAGGCCCTCTGCCTGGTTCCCTGTAGCTTTCCTTCTTGCAGTGAGGAAACTGCCAGAAAGCCCTCGGCGCTGGACCTCAGTGTCCGGGCAGAACGATAAGGGTGGAGGCGCTCCTTCAGGTATACTGGGCCAAGGCCGTTGAATGCAAACTAAATAACTGTTCTCCCCAATCCCTAACAGAGCTAGGGAGAGAAGGAGCCAAATGTTTCTGGTCTCCTAGCTGGGTCGATGAAATAGCCCTGCTTCCTTTCTCTCTGACTATTGCACCCTAGTGGAGAATGAGCAAGTGTAGGCTTGCCATATTTCAAAAAGTGAAAATCTGAACACAAAAGTTATTGACCTTTCCCCAAAAAAATCTCTTTTAAAAATGAAGCTATTTCTATGGAAGTCTGCCAAAATCTGCACTTCTGAGATGGGTTGCCATTCATCTGGATTTTCCCAGACATTTCAGCAATTTCTACCTGGACACTGTTTCTGACAGCCACATTCTGGCTATGTCCGGGAAATTCCAGGCATATGGTAGCAAAAGAGAAAGAGTGGAGAATCCTGGCATTTTCAGCCTGCCCACTAATTACAGAAATAATCTGTTTCTCCTGGGCGCTTGCACGCCTTCCCATCTGCTGAGAGTTTTGCATGAAATATTGGAGAGTTTTGCAATACTGAGTACAAAGAGGGGTCCAATGCCAGCCAGCCATCCTTGCTTCACAAATTGTTCCATTAACGCCCCCCCCAGCCCACTTTTAGTTATGATACTTGACACTCTGCGTTCGGGTAAATTAGACTCACAATGCATAATGAGCCATGAAAAGGTTTTTAAAAATTCTTTCTGATACTGGTAAAGCTCACTGCTACTATTTATATCTATCTATCTATCTATCTATCTATCTATCTATCTATCTATATCTATCTATCATCTATCTATCTGTCTGTCTATCTATCTATCTATCTATCATCTATCTATCTATCATCTGTCTATCTATCATCTATCTATCTATCATTATTGAAAACAAGAAAGAAAAAGAAAATGAGAAGCAGTGTCATGTGGCCTGTAGTGTGTCAGACTAGGTTTAGGGAGACTCATGTTCCACATGAAACTAGTGGGCAGCATCCACTTTTTGCTACAAATGACTAACTTATCCCATTTATTTCAGTGGGATGAAAGTGTGACTAACAGAGCAGCGCTAACCGTGCCTTCTCAGCTCAGTTGAATTCCATGGGGTTTACTCCCAGGTAAGTCAGGTTAGGATTGCTGCTAAGGCTCTCATCCTATGCACGTTTTCCTGAAAGTAAGTCCTATTGAACTCAATGTGCTTTACTTCTGAGTAGACACCATAGGACTGCTCTGCAACTTTGTCTGGATCCAGCCCAGAGACATTTGAATTTGGGCTCCAAACCCAATAGCTATAATTGGTGTCAGGCTCTAATCCCCACCCTCCACACACACAGATATATACAAACCTTATTTAGAAGAATATTGTCTGTTTAAGTAAAGCCTAATCTTAAAAAAAACAACAAAATCATCCTTGCAGGAACCTAATAAATGTGTGAAAAGAATGTTGTTTATTAGTGTCAAGGGACTGCTATTCAGCTGAGCTGCAAAATTAATTTCCCAGCACGGTCGATAAGACATAAAAAAACTCCCAGATGCTGCTGTCACCCGTCAAACCACAGTGAAATATTGCTCCTTTGTAGTGCATCGCCCCAGCAACATCATGTTTTCCTTAGCAGTGTTGTGATAAAGAACGACCTCAAACACAGCTCTTTGGTTCAGCTCGCACTTCTCCTTGATAACCCGCAGATGTCTGAAAAGGGATTTTAAAGGGGTTTGTAAATGGCCCTCGTGGCTGAAGACAGTCAAGAGCTTTCAAGAGGGTTAAGGTGGCGTTATGAAGCCTTCATTGTATGTGATACACACACTCCTCACGCTTGTCACTGCTTGCATAGAGATTTACAATTGTGCCTCAATGCATTCCTCTTGGTATTCTCCCAGCAGTTTGTTTGTTTTGTACAGGTCCTCCCTCTGTTTTGACCTCCACAGATGCAGAAAGATACCTTTTTAAATAACATAACTCATAGAGCACAATAGCAACGCATCTCTCAGTGATCAACAGATATTTACAGATGGTTGCCTGCCATGTGTGCTCCCGTTTGAAGATGCTGAATTTCAAAGTCGTTATCCTTTTGCAGTGAAAGCAACAAAGGCTCTTATGGCACCTTAAAGACAATGCTAATGAAGTGGCTGGTGGCCCATCACAAAGCCATCAATGGCTGCAGACCCAGGAGCAAGCCCCACTGAATGTCATTAGGATTCCAGCCTTGGTGGATAAAAGCCTGCCTCTAGCAATGAGCAATGAACACAAAGTCCACAAACAACACTTCAGGAAAAAAGGCGAAGCAAAGAGGCACCTGTTGGGACATAGATGGATATGTCAATTACGTAAGGTTCAAAGCAGACAAAATATATATTTACAGTCATACCTCGTGTTACGTTTGCTTCACGTTGCGGCTTTTCAGGTTATGAACACGGCAAACCCTGAAATGGATCGCGTTCGTAAATAGAGGTACCACTGTATATATAATGTATGCACATTTTTTTAAAAAAACTTGGGTTGTAGGCAAAAACAATACATAATCTGTCTTGTTATGGAGGTCAAATGGGGTTTTTGAATTTAGACATAAGGCTGCATGAAATTAGGCCATAGAGCCACAGGTCACTCACTCCTGGGACTCAGCTACATTAGTAAAGAAAAAGCGTTTTAAATGCGTTATAACACCGTGACACCAGATGGTGCCGTGGAGTTCCGTCTTTTGGCAATGTGGTTTCCCATTATGAAGTTTGCAACACATTTTCCTGAAACATTTTTTTTCCTTTATGTGTCTAGATCCAGCCCTGGTCAAAATGCATTGGTTTTCAACTGGTAGACGGTGATCCATTGCTGGGAAGCAGCCTGACTTAAGGTGGGTCACAGCAACAATCGTTTTCAAAACGTTCAGTTGAGCTGCAGCTTCACGAAAAAGTTTGTTTCTTATTGTGGTGCTTGCTCACCACTTCCTTGTTGTGAGGGAAAGATTTGCTTCTTTACATTGCTGGAAGGAATGAAGAGTGATGTGCTACTAGAGAGACCACCAGGATGTTAGAATGTTCCCTAAAATGACATCTCCTTTGGTGCAGCCTTAAATAAAGTGTTTGCTCTTAGTGAACAACTGGTGCCTGTGCTCTTTACAGCACCACAAACTATAAGGAATGAGTCAGCCACTCCTGTGTTTGCAAGGGATGAGTCATGCCAGTCCTCTGCATGTACCATTGATGCTCATAATCCATGCACCTCTTTTTTCTGCTTTGGGTGCAGCAATAAAAAAAGGAAAATGAACTGATTTACAAATGGCATTCTAAGGATGAGACTCCCAACAGCATTAACTTTGTAAAGATTGCACGTTCTATACTACAGAAGAGGAGGAGGGGGCGATCCTCTCTGTGTGCTTTGCATCATGTTTAATAGGTACAGAGCCCTGTCACCAGTTTCTCACACTTCTTCAGGGTTTTTTTTCCTTTTCCCACCATTAAAATTCTAATCTGTCCCAATTAGTGTGAATGCAACTCCATGCACACAAAAATTATCACAGGATTTTAAAATATTTCTTCGCATTAGCTGCTGCTGGAGATAACCTGATGATATGAGACATTGGACAAACCCGTAATGCTTTTGCCTCTTTTCTTTTCTCCCTCCCTCCCTCCCCTCTTTCTTTGCTGCCACTGTTCAAAAGGAAAATGAAACACCAGAGTGTTTTCAAAACCCTCCCAAATTCAAACTGACTTCTAAAGTAAGGCTGCTTTTGTTCCTCGCCACTCCATTTGGACTGAAAGTTTGATCACGTTGGACAGGTCCACACTGTACAGTTAAAGCCAATTTGGTGCACACTGATTCCTCCAACAAGCTTCAGGAGCTGTAGTTTGTTGAGGCTGCTGGGAATTGTAGCTCACTGAGGTGAAGCTACAGTTCCCAGGGCTCTTTCGGAGAGGCCATGTGCTTTCAGTGTGTGGTGTGGTTCTGTCCATATTCCATTTAACTGAAACAGAGTCACATTTTCTGCCCCAAGTCAGCATTCTGCTGCAGACCTGGATATTTTAAAATCATTAAAACTATGATTTTGGACATTTACAGAATTGCAGCCTGAATAATGTGGGGGAAAGAAGAAGCTGTAAATTGCAAATTTTATTTCTCGGGGCTCTTTGTAAGTAAGTAAGTAACTGGCTATGGCTCTAAATTTATTTGCCTTCTTTCTGGAAAGAATATCGGGACGCCACACACTGAAGCATGACATATAACAAGAGTGATGTGCGACTTTTATTTTTAAGACACTGGATCTCTTTTGATGTTAAAACTGCAACATATTGCATACAGTTAGTATTAATCTACTTTAGGCATTCTTTGGTTTCTACCCCTGCCCATAATTTATTATGTACCTTGAGATATTTATCTTCCCACTTTGGAAAAAAGATTACAATTAATATGGCACGCATGACTTTAAATTAGTACTTCAGCCAGAGAAGCATGAGTAATGAATTAGCCACGGCTTTGAACTCTTGGCTGATGATTTAAATTGCCCGCATGTGGCTGTTGCATGATCCAGATCTACTGAAATATGCACTCAAGCAGAACAGACTTTACCTGCTTCCATTTGTATACTATCTGGGAGATTTTAAAAAAATCAGATTGGGGAATTTCCACATATTGAAATCAGTGGGACTCAGCATGCCTTGTCATTTCAGATTTCACAGCTGTGGGAGACAAAGAGACTTCAGTAGAGGGGACAAGATTCTCAGTGTGGTTTCGGTACTAGATTAGAGAAGTGGGTTTTGACCTCAAAACTCTGGCAAAAGGAGTGGCCCACTTTCATCCTCCCATTGCTCACTCCTGACATAAGCAATCATTTATCTCTCTTGGTGAGCATTATGTTTGCAAAGTGATATTTTCGGTCCCTCTCTTCTGTTCTTCTCTTCTCGGGTTGCAACTCTATCCCTGTTTAAAAAGGTAAAGGTAAAGGGACCCCTGACCATTAGGTCCACTCGTGACTGGGGTTGCGGCACTCATCTCGCTTTATTGGCAATGGGAGCCGACGTACAGCTTCCGAGTCATGTGGCCAGCATGAATAAGCCACTTCTGGCAAACCAGAGCAGCGCACGGAAACACAGTTTACCTTCCCGCCGGAGCGGTACCTATTTATCTACTTGCACTTTGATGTGGTTTCAATCTGCTAGGTTGGCAGGAGCAGGGACCGAATAACGGGAGCTCACCCCATCACGGGGATTTGAACCGCCGACCTTCTGATCGGCAAGTCCTAGGCTCTGTGGTTTAACCCACAGCGCCACCCGTGTCCCTTCATCCCTGTTTACCTGGGAGCAAATTCCATGAATCTCAGTGGGGCATGCGTCCGAGTAGTGGACTGTGTTTTTTGTTTCCTACTCATAAATAAGTAAGTAAATAAAGAACCACAGTTTCCTGATTTGACAGCTGTCAGGTTAGACCATCTACTAACAAGGCTTTAGTTTTACCCAGTGATATTTTTCTAGAAAAAGAGATGCCGGAACTCACCATGAACACCTCCCTCATTCTTTTAGAATGGCAATGGCACCTACCTGAGAGGTGCCGGAACTGAGTTCCAGAAAGTTCCAGCTGAAAAAAAGCCCTGGTTTTACCATGAAGAATACACCCAACAGATGTCTGTAGTGTGCAGAAGTCTGCTGATCAGTATAAATATTAAAGCACAAACAACACCTTGTTTCTGCAGTTGTCATTTGTCTGTTTTCTGACAGGAGGAGCCAGTTTTGATGGGCTTCCTGTGGTCCCTTCGTTTTTTATCTTATCATCCAATTTTCCGCTGCACTGATCTCCTTCTGTCATGCTGATGGCCAGCCAAACTCGCCTCGTTCCTGGAGAGAGCGGCGTGTAGCCCTTTTTCATCAGAGTAAGACAGAAGAGGAGAAGGAGGGGTGATCACTCCTGAAGTGGAAGCCTTGCCAGTGCTTTGACCTCTCCGGTGGTGAAAGGGAGGCTATTCGTCTTTAAGGAACCTCACATATTTCCCTGGGAGGAAGTCACACTGATTTCACAAGAACTCAGCTCCACAAAGGGCTTAGGCCTGAGGATGTCACTGCCCTCATCTGTCCTCTTGGCAGAGAATTCTGAGTTAATGAATCAGCTTCAACCCAAAGTCACATTTTCCAAGGGCTTTCCAAGGACAGTGGAATGGTTGGAGTGTCAGACAGCGACTGGGTAGGGTCAAATCTCTACTCAGCCATGAAACTCGGTGGGTGGCCTTGGCCTGCCACCATCCATTCCAGAAAAACATGGTCTGATCATGGGAAAGGCTGTGCTTCAAAATAATAAAAAGGTAAGGTAAAGGAGAACAGCTGCTTCAAAGTGGTCACATGGAAAGCAGGCATCACTCAGTGGTAGAGCACAAGCAGAAGATTCCAGGTTCAGTTCCGAGGAACTTCAAATGTGGCTGGGGAGAAATTCTGCCTAAGACACCAGAGAGCCACTGCCAAATGGTGTAGACAATACTAAACGAAATGGATCATGGGCTGATTCATTTTAAGATAGCTTCCGGAGTGCTGTCACAGACTGGTGGGACACAGAAGAGTGGTGTAACTAGCCGCTCGGGTGCCTGGTGCGGCTCACACGTCCTGCAACCAGGGGCAGGGTGAGCCTCCCATGGGGGTGAGGCAAGCCTCCCATGGGGGTGGGGGGTGCTGCATGGAGCCTCTCCAAAGCCTCCCCCTCAGCTGTAGAGCAGCTTAGGGAGAGGTGGAGGGCAGACACAGGTCCCACACTGCCGTTTCAGGTAGTGCAGAGCCTGCAGGAACCTGCCCAAGCCACCACGTCACACACACCCCTCAGTGATGACACACAGGACAGTCCGTACCCCCCTCACCCCGTTCCCCCTCCAGTGGGTGGGAGGAACCAGTTGGGGAACCCCCAAGGGAAGAAGGTTCAGAGGCCAGGGTAGTGGGAAAATGATGAGTTGTCAGAGGGAGAAGACTGGGAAGAGGAAGTGTCAGAAGCTGAAGAGGTAACAGGGCTTAGTGAGCAGGAAGAGGCTGTGGCAGAGAGCAGTCCAGAAGCAGAGGCAGAAGCTGAAGCAGGAGAGGTGGAAGGCCGAGAGGCAGAGATCAGGCCGGCTGGGGAAGAGGCACAGATGTCTCTCACTCCTGCTGCAACAAGCTGCCCTCCCCTTGGTCTCCAAGAACCAGGAGAGGCATGAAGAGGGTGAAAAATTAGCTTCACACAGGTGCAGTCTCTGATTGCTTGAGGAAAACCCTGGAGAGGAGGAGACTTAGGCAGCTGTGGGAAGGCGAGCAACTGCTCCATGGGGACAAGACCTGTTGGAGATGAGTTGCTCTGCCCATTAGCCCTGACACTCCTATGCAGATCATGTTTTTGCTAATAAGGAGTTAACTCCAACCTGCTCTATTTGATTTACTTCCGGCTTGCTCCTGTGACTACGATTATTGTACATCTCCTGGAGTATAAACATGATTATATGAAGGAAAATTGTTCTAAAGTCAGCATAGGGAGCCAGTGTTGGTGGAATCCACCTTGCACCAGTCCTAGCCTACATGGCCAGTGATCAAAGAATCATAAAACTGTAGAATTGGAAGGGAACCCAAGAGTCATCTAGTCCAGCACCCTTACAATGCAGGAATTTCCACTAGGTCAGGAATGATGAGACTTGTAGTCCAAGAACATCTGGAGGGCTATCACAGGTTCCCTTGCCTGTTCTAAAGAGCAAATCAAAGAATGATTTACATTCCAGTTCTGTAATATGTTTAAATGTATTTGTTTTACTTCAAAAGTAGAAAGGAACCTAGCAAGTAAGCCCAGATGTGTATTCCAAATGTTTCCTGAAAGCTGAGAGTGGTTTCATTTACATAAGTTCAAGCCCAACTAGAATAGAGATGAGTTTAATGTAGAAAAGAAACGTCTATGACTCAGAAGGACGGGGTGCAGTTGATATGCAAACTACGTCAATGCCACTGCGCTGGGCATGCGGTGGGTTCTGACGGGCAAACAAAGAACAGCACAGGCAGGGGCTTTTCTTCTGTGAGCAGATTTTCTTCCGTGAGCCGTGGAACTTGAAGGCACTTTAAGAAAGTGGGAGTCATTCTGCACACCCACAAACAGAAACTGCAATTAATCCAGAATGCGGCAGCTAGACTGGTGACTGGGAGTGGCCGCTGGGACCACATAACACCGGTTCTGAGAGATCTGCATTGGCTCCCAGTACGTTTCCGAGCACAATTCAAAGTGTTGGTGCTGACCTTTAAAGCCCTAAACGGCCTCGGTCCTGTATACCTGAAGGAGCGTCTCCACCCCCATCGTTCAGCCCGGACACTGAGATCCAGCGCCGAGGGCCTTCTGGCGGTTCCCTCATTGAGAGAAGTAAGGTTACAGGGAACCAGGCAGAGGGCCTTCTCAGTAGTGGCGCCTGCCCTGTGGAATGCCCTCCCAGCAGATGTCAAAGCAATAAACAACTATTTTACTTTTAAAAGACAACTGAAGGCAGCCCTCTTTAGGGACATTTTTAATGTTTGATGCTGTACTGTTTTTAATATTCAGTTGGAAGCCGCCCAGAGTGGCTGGGGAAACCCAGCCAGATGGGCGGGGTATAAATAATAAATTATTATTATTACTTTACCAGCTGTGCTGTTCCTTCCGAGGATATCATTTGCAGCTTGCCGGAACAGTCACAAATCCACTTTAAACCCTTTAGGGGAAGGGCCATAGCTCGGTGGTAGAGCAGCTGCTTTGCATGCAGAAGGCCCTAGGTTCAATCCCTGGCATCTCCAGGCTGGGCTGGGAAAGACTCCCTGCCTGAAACCCTGGAGAGCCATCGCTGCCAGTCAGTGTAGACCATACTAAGCCAAATGATAACAATGGTCTGACTCACTTTAAGTCAAATTCCCATGTGCCTAAACCGGTGCACAAACAAACAGACAGACAAAGTGTAATCTAGTATTTAGAATGTAGATACAGTCATACCTCGGGTTTCAGATGCTTCAGGTTGCGTGTTTTCGGCTTGTGCACCATGCCGAACCTGGAAGTACCGGAACTGGTTACTTCCGGGTTTTGGCACTCGTGCATGTGCAGAAGCACTAAATTGTGCTTTGCGCATGCGCAGAAGTACCAAATCGTGGCCCACGTGTGCGCAGACGCAGCGCTGCAGGTTGTGAACGTGCCTCCCGCATGGATCCCGTTCGCAACCCGAGCGTCCACTGTATAGGCAAACTGTATTTTTACTACTATTTCTCCATTCCTTGAATAAGAATTCTCTGAATATTCAAAGAATATTATTTATATCATTAAGAAGGGAAAGGCATGAATGTTATCTCTAGATAGATAGGTAGGTAGGTAGGTAGATTATCTATCTATCTATCTATCTATCTATCTATCTATCTATCTATAGCTATCTATCTATCTATCTATCTATCTATCATCATCATCTATCTATCATCTATCTATCTATCATCTATCTATCTATCATCTATCAACAAAGCCTCAAGGTTCCTTCCAACTGTACAATTTTATGTACAATTTTATGAGAAATGATATATGGTAGGCAGATGGGTACCACTAGGAGTTGAAGGGTGGAATTAAAGAGCAGCACATCTGGAAAATCCTCCTGACAGTGGTACCTCGCTGGGGTGTCAAACAGCATCCTAGGGAAGCCTTTGGAAAGCCATCACTTTAGCACACTGAAAACTATTGTAGACAATGTGCTAATATAGTTACCGTGAGGAGAAACTTCACATTGCTAAAAGGATAGGCTGGATAATTTCAATCATCTTCCTTCCTTTTAGCCATTATAATTTGACAAAGTGGAAGTTGGGGTAAGCTATGCCAGAAGCAAAATGTGCTTGTACAATGCATCGTTTAGCTGCGTGTAGCTGTGAACATCTCCCTCTATCTTGAGATTCATAGAATTGTATAGTTGGAAGGGATCAAAACGGTCCTCTTGTCCAACCCCCTACAATTGCAGGAATATTTTGCCCATTGTGGGGCTCAAACCCATGACACCAAGGTTAAAACCTCATACTCTACCAACTGAACTATAGGCAAGGTTCTTTCCCAGGGATTGAAACTGGGAACTTCTGCATGCAGGGCATTTGATCTATCACTCGGCTACAACCCTTCCCCTTAAGGAAGGGTAGCAGATACTGCACAATCATCGTCATCACCACCATCTCTTGTGAGCCAGCATGATGAGAGCCATGCAATGATTATGTTGTAGGAAAATACCTTGTTGCAAAGCAGCAGCAGAACGTAGGCTGGCTCCGCATAGGACAGGTGCACGGGGCACGCCCCCGAGGGGCGGGGCTCAGAGGGAGCCCCGCCCCTCATGCTATCCCACTGCTGCCAAGAGTTAGAGATGGAAACTTTGTAGCTGCAGATAAGCACCGGATTCCTTTTTCAGTTTTGAAAAATCACAAAGGTTCTGTTGTTTGTGTTTCTCCCGTTTCCACATATTTTTTTTTGGGGGGGGGGGAATTAAAGCAAGTTTTAAAAAGAAAAATAATCAGTTGCATGTGCAAATGTTTTTGGGTGTGGCAACGCATGGGAGCATTGGACCTTTTGCATTAGATGAATGAATGATGCTCATTGAGTATGTTATGTTACCTGTTTTTAAAGCAGCTTCTTCCTATCCCTTTAGCTATGTCCTATTAACTGCTGAGCTTCCTCTGCCCAACCCAAAATGCTGCTGGATAGCAGAGAGCCTGGCACCATCTTCTCTTTGCTACCCAGAGAGAAAAGGCAAGAGGGGGAACTGGCAGATGCGAGAAGGAGGAACAGCAGCTGCCACCATCCAAAAGCAATTTAAGGTTTGTGCGTGCATGCAGGAGTCAAACACCCTGGCAGTGCCAAACCTTGAACCCAAGCCTAATCCCTCCCCCTCTTCTCCTTCTTGTACCATTTTGGCCTCTTCTTTGAAACAGGTCAAAGAAGAGGCGCCATTCGAGGATCTCCACTGATTTTGCCTAATGGCTTGGTTTTAAGGCTGACATGAGCTGGCCTTCTAAATGTCTGATTCGAAGCCACGTCTGGGCAAGCAAATGTCATCGTTTCTCTGCAAATCCCAAGCTGCATTTCCAAATGAGCCCGCATGAGCCCATATGGCACAAGTCCAATGGTTGCTTTTTGAACAGATTTCAAGGAATTACATGTGACGTGGAGAACGTCCAGCCTTTGACACCTAGTCCAGATTTAAAAAGAAGAAAAGACATGGCTACCTCTTTAGCTGAAAAGCTATCCATATCAGACACAAAACCAGACTGTTCCTCAGCTCTGTTTAAGAAACTCAAGTGGTTTCTGTGTAGGTAATTCACAGGTGCTTCAGATCAGGTGTATTTATTTAATTTCAAGTATTTGTCTGTGTCACTGGAAAAGATCACAAATTATTTAAAAGGAAGAAAGAATAGGTTAAACAATAAAAATTAAGCACAATAAGGAAAACAGTAAGAGGGACGTAGGTAGCACTGTGGGTTAAACCACAGAGCCTAGGACTTGCCGAACAGAAGGTCGGCGGTTCGAATCCCCGTGATGGGGTGAGCTCCCATTGCTCGGTCTCCTGCCAACTTAGCAGTTTGAAAGCACATCAAAGTGCAAGTAGATAAACAGGTACCGCTCCGGCGGGGAGGTAAACGGTGTTTCTGTGCGCTGCTCTGGTTCGCCAGAAGCGGCTTAGTCATGCTGGCCACATGACCCGGAAGCTGTACGACGGCTCCCTCAGCCAATAAAGCGAGATGAGCGCCGCAACCCCAGAGTCATCCACAACTGGACCTAATGGTCAGGGGTCCCTTTACCTTTACCTTTAAGGAAAACATCAAAATCCATAAGTAACTATATAACATCAAATTCCATAGCATAGAATTCCACTCACTCAATACACTTAGGCTGCATCTACACAGCTATGAAAAACGCTCTGAAAACGCTCTGGAAAAAACTGTTTTAAAGCTCACAATGGAAAATTTAATGGAGTTCCAATTTCAGCTCTACAGCGACATCTGGTGTCAACGTGTTATAATGTATTTATAACTTTTTTAAAACTAATGTAGCTGAGTCCTTACATTCACTCAAGATCTATGTTTACTTACACATCTGTTCCTCAATCAAATTACACTTGTACACATTCACCAACACTCACATACTCTTAACAATTACAGATCTCAATAATCCCCTGGATACATAAATGAAGGTCACATGATGACATTTGGGCAGCCTAACACTATGAGGTTAAACTCAGATTTAATCTAGGACCATGCAACATTTATGCAGCCATTGTGGTGCCCTCTAGCTATTGTGGACTCCAACTCTTTAGTCAGCACAGCCACTAGTCTAGAATGGTGGAAGCTGGAGTCAGTAACATATGGCAGATACAACATTGGCCATCCTTGCTTTAGATCCAGATTAGAATAATTTGCAAGCTAACCAGAAAATGGTAGAGTGGCCTGCTTCTGTGTACTTTGAAAAAGCAGCTTAATTCTGCAGAAAGGTTTGTATGGCAGGGAGGTAAGCATTGCTAATATTTGCACATCAAGTGACTGTTATAGGAGAAAAGACCATTTCAAAGCTTAACGACCGACGGGGAAGTCTGCAGTTAAATTCAGAATGAAACTCTAAACTACTGAAGTGTCTTTATCACTGATACGTTACACCCAAAAGGTCATGGCCTGGGTCATCTTCTTATGTTCTGAACAACTGCAACTCACTTTTTAATCAAGCAGATGTTTCTTTCTTTACTCATTATTACATATAATAGACTTTGGAGTTTCACGTAGTGTCATCTCTGTAACCCTGATTACGTTGAGTTTCTCTGTGACACAAAACTTCCGAAGAGGGATCTAATTCCAAATTAAAATGAATATAAAGATAAATAGCATAAAGGGACAGAGTAGAAACTCAGATAAGCAATCAACGAAAGAGTTATGTTTATTCAGGATTATGTGTAATCTGCATAAGGATAGGTGTCAAAATCAGGTCTCTTGGTTTCTCATTTTTCCAATCTTAAATCAAGTTCTTCATTATTATTTTTTAAATAGATACAAATCTATCAGCATTTTAATGCCATTTTCTTCAAAAAAAACCCCATGTTTTTGTAAAGGATTTCTCCCTAATATGCATTTTTGCATGTTATTTTCACCAATATATGCATTTTATGCACACTTTATCCAGATGCATTTTTTGTGCACATTACAGGCCTGGGCAGGTCGGGTCTTCCTACCTGCTGGAATTGACAAGGCACTTCTGTTAACGACAAGAAAGAACAAGGAGGCACTTCTGGAACAAATTTAGACTTTTTTTTATTTCTTTACATTCAATGAGGGTTTCAAGCTCAGTGGTTACTCATGTAAGGCACAGTATGAATTTCCAGAAAACACTCTTTACAGAGAACTTTAAAGCCGTAATTAGCACTCTTTTCTAAACTTAGTCACAGGATAAACTATTTCCACTATTTACTGCACACTGATAATCATCATCATCATCATCATCATCATCATCTTCTTTATACCCCACTCATCTGGCTGGGTTTCCCCAGCCACTCTGGGCAGCTTCTTCTCTAGCGATCACTCGTAGCCAAGTAAAATTGTCTTCCATGAACATGGTCTTAAAAGTGAGTCGGTAAGTGACTGTGGACTGTGGAGGCCAATTCTGGATCCACACGTCCTTCCATAGTGGGGACATTGGTTTCCAGGCGGAAGTTGATCACGGTGTGGATTTGCCAAGCGTGCCTTCCTCTTAGCACCTTTCTCCCTTGTGTCCTGAGTTCGAGTGTCTTCAAAGCCCATGACACCTTTGGTAAAGGTTGTTCTCCAACTGGAGTGCTCGCAGGCCAGTGTTTCCCAGTTGTCGGTGTTTATACTACATTTTTTTTAAGATTTGCCTTGAGAGAGTCTTTAAACCTCTTTCGTTGACCACCAGCATTACGCTTACGGCATATATAGAAATATAATAAAAATCAAACATTAAAAACTTCCTGTTACAGGGCTGCCTTCAGATGTCTTCTAAAAGTTGTGTTGTTCTTCATCACAGCCCTGGCTAGCTAATCCCTATCAGAAGAGGTCTCCCCAGGTCCCTATCTCATGGACAGACAATCCCTATCTAACCATTTAATTTTTAACTCACCACCAATTGCTCCTGATTGCACAATGTTCCAACCAGCTCCGATTGGTTGCTTGTTCATCGGGAGGTTGACCCAGGGTCTGTCTGTCACAGAGAGGCACAGATGAAGATCAATGAAGATCAATGGAATGCCTGCTCCCATTTTACAACCAACCGCCTTGTGGGAAGGATCCTGATGATGATATACTGTATACATGCATTTGTTTAAATGTAGTTTAAAGGTACTTGCAAGCTGCCTTGGAAGGATTTGCATCCTACAAGGCAGGCGATAGTAATAAATCGTTCAATGAATGAAGGAATGAGTGAAGCACAAGGCCAATCAGTCATATTCAATAATAATAAAAATTGAACCAGGATTTCCTTCTGCCACTACCATGTACCATTCAGACACTGCGCTGAATGTCCTAGCCAGCTTTCTGATATGACCCTCGGACATTCCAGATTTTCATCTGAAAGCTAGGTTCATCTGTTTGATGTGGGTAATGTGCAACTCAACTGTCCTGTTTATTTATTAGGTGGGTTAAATGCTTAATGGGACGCGGGTGGCGCTGTGGGTTAAACCACAGAGCCTAGGACTTGCCAATCGGAAGGTCGGCGGTTCGAATCCCCGCGATGGGGTGAGCTCCTGTTGCTCGGTCCCTGCTCCTGCCAACCTAGCAGTTCAAAAGCATGTCAAAGTGCAAGTAGATAAATAGGTACTGCTCCGGCGGGAAGGTAAACGGCGTTTCCGTTTCCTGCTCTGGTTCGCCAGAAGTGGCTTGGTCATGCTGGCCACTTGACCCGGAAGCTGCACACCAGCTCCCTCAGCCAATAAAGCGAGATGAGCGCCACAACCCCAGAGTTGGTCACGACTGGACCTAATGGTCAGGGGTCCCTTTACCTTTACCTAGATTGTCATTTGATGTGGGGTTTCTGGTGTTGCAAAATAAAGAGATTAAATC